TATATATATATATATATATATATATATATATATATATATATATATATATATATATATATACATATACACACATAGAGAAACACACACTACACACACATAATTCTTTTAATTTTGGTGTATCTTGATTACACTTAATTTTTCATTTTGTGTGTGAATGTTTTGAATATCGGTTTTAAGGGTGTTTTAATGCAAGAAAGTGTAACTGTGTCTGATCAATATCATCTTATTATATATAATAAATATATATTATAATTAGCAAAAGTGAATTACTCCACAACAGAAAAAGGAGTATTTAACAACAATTTAAGGTTTCAAAAAGCTTCATGCATATTTACATGGTTCTTAAATATTGTTAAAAGGTGATTATGTTGCAGTTACTTCATTATTAAAGTAGGAAAATTTTGTTAATTATACTGGTCAGTGGGCTTTAAAGTTTCATATTGCCTAAAGAGTTTTATGGCTAATGTTAATGCCCTTTTTTGAGCTCCTATTCCTTCTTTACTCTCTTTTCATGTTTTTTTATAAACTTGTTATTCTAGTATTTATTAATTTTTTGGATAAGTATTTTATGCCGTCGGCGGTTGCTATACCTGATATTTAGTGTCCACAAGGTGCAAAGCAAAATTTACCTTCTCTTGATAAGATTTGTAAAGCTAAAAAAATTGAGTCATAAATTTGAAGGTTTTGCGATGGGTTTGAGAATTTTATATCACTTGTTGATGATTTGCTACTTCGACATTTATATTCTCAATATTGTCTTAAAGACGGTCTTTTTTATTTTGTAGGAATAGATCTTGATGATCATTTACAACTGGTGATGCTTTTGATCTTTATTCTATGCTTTCTCTATACCTACCATGATTCTTCTATTCTAGATTGGTATATAGGATATCATCATGTGACTAATAAGTTGCACAGGTATTTTTATTAAGATGCAACGTGATGTTATTTGGTATATGCATAACTACGTTTAGTACTAAGTTCATAATATTCCCTCTCATTGATGGTTGGAGTCAATTATAATTTTTTTTCCATTTGAATTAGTGGTGTTTGATCTAATAGGGTTTTTTCCACGATTGATTGTTGGCAATGAGTATGTCATTATTACTTCTGATTACTTAACTTTCTAAATAGAAGTTATTTATCTTTTTAGTGTGTTAGCGATTACTGTTAAGTACTTCCTTCTCAATCAAGTGGTGTTCCAACATTCTTATCTAAAAGGAATTCTCTCAAATAATGGTCTTTCTTTTATGGTTGAGGCATTTCACTATTTATTATCCGTCGACAAATGGTTTGGTAGAATGGCTCATTCGGAACTTCAAAAGGATAATTGCAAATTATTTGAATTTTCAACATTCAGATTAGGATGGTTATTTACCGTCTCTTTGATATACATATGTTATAAAGGTGTAAATTTCTATTGGTGCTTCAGCAAATAAACTCCTATATAATTATGATTTGATATTGCTAATAGAGTTACCTTTGTGATTGCCATGAGTTGCCAATACTACGTCTTGGGATTAGTATTTGATAAGCATTCTTTCATTTGTCCAAACAGAGTTTGTTAAACACTTGGGCTGCATATAAGTGGGACAACAATGGTGTTATAACTCCCATCATTATCCACTTGTGGGGTACATAATGGATGATTTGGTGTTAGTCTATCCTCCTATCTTATAATATGTGGTTTGTCCAAGGAGCTCCTTGCTCAATAGAAGGGACTATATTGGGTAATGTGGCAAATTGGACCATAAATTTATGAGGCTCAAGATGATGTTCAATAAGCTGATCCTCCAGAAATTGAGCATATGCAATAGTTAAAACACTTTGTATAAAGGGATAAAAAAACAACTAATACTACCTATAGATCCATTGATGCCTCCTCCTGATATTCCTCTAGATCCTCTAATTGCCTTCCATTATTATTCTCCATAATATCTATAATTGGTAATATATTAATTAGCTGTGTGAGTGCTTAGAATATGGAAAGGGAATACAGAAAATGTGCATATTAATTGGCCCAAAAACCCTAACTTATATACAGGAGTGAGTGGTCCGAATTGAAACCAATCCAACGGCTACCAAAATCCCACTACACTAATATTAGCATATAACATCATAATTGTACACTTGGCCCTTACATCATCCCCTCCTCTCGGAATAATAGAAGACCATCAGGGTTCTCTTATAGACAGGCCAAGATCTGGAGGAATGTTAGGAGGAGGCATCGGCGGATCTGTAAGTGGTACTAACTACTTCTAATCCCTTTGTATGAAGCGTTTCAACCGCTGCATATGCACAATCTCTAGAGGATCAGCCTGTTGGACGTCATGCCGAACCTCATAAACTTGTGGTCCAACTTGCCACAACACCCGATACGGTCCTTTCTATTGTGCAAGGAGCCCCTTAGATAAACCACATACCGTAAGATGGGGAAAATGGACTAATACCAAATCATCCACTTTGTACTCCGCAGATGGACGATAATGGGAGTTGTAGCGCCATTGTTGTCCCACTTGTACACAGCCTAAGTGTTCAGTAGACTCTACTCAGACAAGTGGAAGAATGCTCATCAAATACTAATCCCACGACCTAGCATCGGCAGCTCGTGGCAATCGCAAAGGTAAACCCAGCTCCGTTGGTAATATTGGATCATGACCGTATAAGAGTTTATATGGTGAAGCACCAACAGAACTCTGCACCTCTGTGACATATGCATACTGAAGAGACGGCAAATAACCATCCCAATCCGAATGCTGAAAGTTCATATACTTCGCAATCATCCCTTTGAATGTTCGAACGAGCCGTTCCACCAGACCATTTGATTATGGATGATAAGCACTCGTGAAAATGTAGTGTATCCCCAACTGAGATGTTAAAACATAAAATACCTCAGTCATAAACGTGAGACCATTATCCAAAAGAATCTGCTCTGGACAAGAATGTTGGAACACCACTCGATTGAGGAGGAAGTATTCAACAGTAGTTGCAGAGGCGCTAACAAGAGCACCAACTTCCACCTAACAAGTCAAGTAGTCAAACGCAATAATAACATACTCGTTGCCAGCAGTCGATCGTGGAAAAGGTCTTATAAGATCAAACGCCACCAATTCAAATGGATGGGAAACTGCAATTGACTCTAACCGTCCTTCCGCAGCACCCTAAACCGGATAATATCACGTCGCATCTCTGGCAAATAGAAAGATCTGTGCAGCTTCTCGGTTACACGACGATGTCCCATATGCCCACATAGAACAGAAGAATCATGGTAGGCATGGAGAAACTGCAGAATAAAGACAAAAGGCACCACTAGCCGTAAATGATCATCAGGATCCGTCCCCACAAAATAAAGAAGGTCGTCTTCAAAGCGATATTGAGGATGTAAATGCCGGAAAGGCAAATCATCAGCAAGTGATGTAGAATTCTCAAACCCATCTTGAAGTCTTCGAATCCATAGCTCAATCTTTTGAGCCTCGCGAACCTCATCAAGAGAAGGTAGATTTTGCTCTACGCCTTGTGGACACTGAACCTCAAGTACAGTAACCACCAACGGCACAGAATCCTCGTCTAGAAAATCCATAGATGCTGGAATAATAGGCTCGACAGAAATATGAGAAAAGAGTGGAGAAGGAAGAGGAGCTCAAGAAAGGGCATCCACATCAGCCATAAAAGTTTCTGGGCGGTGAATAACATCAAAATCATATATCTGAAGCTTCAAAGCCCATCGAGTAGTATGACCAACCAAATTCTTCCGCTTCAATAATGAAGTAATAGTAGCATGGTCACTTTCAAGTAACATCCGAGAACCATGTAGATATGCATGAAGTTTCTCAAAACCCCAGACTACTGCTAAATACTCTTTCTTTGTCATGGAGTAGTTTATCTTCGCTGGTTGTAATGTACAATTTAAATATGCAATAGGATGGCACTGACCAGGCACACTCAAGCTCTCTTCCATCAACACACCTCCAAGACCAATGTCAGAAGCATCTATGCGCAAAATAAAAGGTCGAGTGTAGTTAAGATATGCCAAAACTGGAGGAGTTGTCAATAACTCTTTGAGATCCACGAATGCCCGCTCACAATCTGGAAACTAGATGAAAGATGATATTGATGACTTCAACAACACTCGCAACGGTGCAGTGTGATCAGAAAGATATCCATAAAACGACCAAGATACTACACCTTGCCCAAGAAGTGCTAC